ATAGGCTGATGGAGTAAGTATAATGACACGACGACTTGAAGTACTTGATGTACAATTGTCATAAACAAAACAGTAGTAACGGTACAAGGAGCTTAATATGCTAAGTGGTACATATGTGGTTGCAATAGCCTTAACTTATAAAACATATAAGGAGGCACCTGTGGTGCAAGGATATTCTACGGATAGAACAGTTGGGCTAGCGACGAGGAAGGCGACTGCATGGAGTGACAACGTATTAAGCAGGATAAATCACACATCATACAAATACATCAACGGATTTCTATGGATTTTGGCATAACGGAATGATAAGTAGATAAATTAATGTGGCAATAGAGGCATTCATAGAGGAATTGCAGAATGCGCATGTATTTCACATAGTTGCTAAAATAAAAACGCACGGCGATTACAGTATGATTGACAGTAGCTTTAGTATGTCAATAAAGCAGGAGTGCGAGAGTTAGTTAACATGACATCAAGGAGAATAAGAAAGTAATGTAGAAGGGTGCTGGCGATCTGTAGGCGTCTGAAGGCAAATGACACTACCACAAGCGGCGGCTAAGCTTTAGAATAACGTTTGCTAATGCGCGTGTTAACATGTTTTGAAATTGGTGAGCTTACACGAGATTGATAAAAGTTTTTATTTTGGGTAATGTTTCTACGCCTTTGTAATCATCAGAGCTGGCGATCCGAGTCGGTGGTCCACAGTTTTTGGCGGTCTCGATGTGGCGTCTTCGTTGTCATACCGAGACGGAACCTTCTTCAGCGAACACTGAACCAATGACGGATGCCCAAAAGGGACGATTGTTGTTGATATGATAATCCATTGGTAGTAGTTTGTTTTTTAATGGAAAATCCACTCTGCATCAGTCGACATAGAAGTCGCCACATCGAGATCACGAACAACTGTGGATCATCGACACGGAGCATCGGCTCTGATGAAGACGAGGACGACGCAACGTTAAAAAACGGTGTTACTTTTATTCTTTATTCACGAATAAGCTGACGTTTCGGCGGATTTCGCCCTCCTCAGAGCCTGGAAAGGTCAAGCTGACGGCAATCTATTCGGTCAAACGCCTCAACGCTAAACAAAAATTTCAATAGTTGCCAGGATCGACTTTCTATTAACCTCGGCATTGGAATACGAATGTGTCGTTTTCTTGTTCAGCAATCGCGAGGTTTTAAACAGCATACATTTACTTCCATAGAAAAACACAATAGAATACAACGCTAGCTGACGTTTCGGCAGTATCGTCTTCTTCAGAGCCTGGAAGGGCATACTGATATACAGTCTACTAGGCCAAACGCTTCAATAACACTTACAAAAAGACGAAAAACTCTTTGGTAATTACATGATCAACAACTTCTCGAAAAAAAAAACCCACCGCTTTTTCGTGACATCCAATGAGGAAGTTTAGAACAGCTGATTATAGTCGCATGTGGTTGACGACTGCACCATCCCACATCAAAAATCGATGCGAACATACGGGATCAGGTCGCGTATGACCTCCGGGCATTCGCCCCTGCTATTCATTGTAGGATTTTTGGCATTTATCCAAAAAGCCTCAAGAAGTTTTCGCGCTGGTGTTTTGGACTCCTGTGCAAGGATATTGACTTTTACTTCAAAATTGTCTCCGCTGTGCTTTTGTATCCTATGCGTGCCTAGTGGGGTGCTTCGTCTTAGTTTTCGTTTGCATCTAGGTGTTCTTTTACACGGATACACAAAGGTCTGCCCGTTTCGCCAATATATTCATCTCCGCAATTATTACAAGAGCTCAGGGATATGGTACCTGAACTCATGCAATCACCGTACCAGCCGTAAGGGCAAATTACGCAATTTGTTGTTTCACACAGACGGTCGTACAGGCGGTTGCAAACTAATTGGCAACGTAGAGTAGCCGGTGGTATTTCAACTATCGCTACCGATTCCTCTAGAATTGCCCTTCTTAAGCATCGTTTTATAGCTGCGCTTACTTCATCGCTTATAAAAGGCAACATGAACGGGACTTTCTTTTGGCCAAGTGTTTCGCGTGGGCGCGTCGCTCTCCTTGTAAACTTATCTCGTGGGGTTAGTATTTCGTAGCCATTGGAGATGGCTATTTGCCGAGCCAAGTCGCCCGACTCTTCCTTTAGTTCCCTGGTAGTGCACACAGAGGTGGCTGTTCGAAACACATTTCTCACAATCGCCCTCTTTGTGTGTGAAGGGTGGGAAGAAAGGAAATGGACAAGGATGTTCTTGTTACTTGGCTTTCGATACCACTTTGTCAGGTAACCGCTGCTTGATAGGTTTATTTGAACGTCCAAAAACGGAAGCCAGTTTTTTCTCGGTTTCCCCGGGTGAACTTTATGTACTCGGACTGCTCATTCAATAATTCAAAGCATTTGTCCATCTCCTCCTGCGTAGAGAAGACGACAAAACAATCATCTACATATCTGCAGTAGAGTAGTGGCCGGAGATCGAGAACAGGAGCATCTATCTTAGACATGAACACAATGGCAAGGCTTGGTGCCAATCGCTGTCCCATTGCCAGCCTCCTTATTTGTGCGAAATATTTCCCAGACCATCTGAAAATCGAGCAGTTTAGGCACTCCTTTAAGAGAGCCATTAGCTGCTGGATGGACAAGCCATGCATATTTATTCTTCCTTCATGTTCAACAAGAAGTTCGAAGATGGCTTGCATTGCGGAGTCATTCGATACGTTGGTGTACAGTGCGGTAACGTCGAAAGACTCCATCACGTACGCGTTATTGGGATACGCGTTACGTAGACGTTCTAGGAACATTTAGGTGTTTGTGAGGTGAGCTGGAATGTGGTTAAGCAACTGGGTAAGTATCAGACTTAAAAACCATGTTATCCTATCCGTTTGCCCGTCTACACAGCTGATGATCGGTCTAACCTTAAATGATGGCGGATTGGTTGACGAATGATCATCAGGTGATACCAACTTATGTGTTTTAATAAGTAGGTATAGGACGGGACATGTTGGTCTATCGATTTTAAAGTGCGAAATAACCGGTGATTTTAAACCCGCAGCCTTTGCCACGCTGACCCATTGATTGCTTAACTTTCGGTATTAACTTTTTTATTCCTTTTCAGAGGATGGGCGATAGAGGGTAGCATCACTAAGACGTTCCTCTGTTATCTCAACATCCAGCTGGCGAGGGATAACTACGAACTCTCCCCCCTTATCACTAACAGACAATCTTATTGTTTTCGAGTTTAGTAATTCTCTAATTTCCCGCATGCCACATTTTTGTGCGGCTGTAAGGTTAGAGATAAACTTTCTATCGCGGTAGTGATCAAGGGTCTTAACAACGCCGTCCGAAAACACGCGGAATTTTATGTCAACTCCATCGTTAGGGTGCTGCTGTCTAAAGAACGTTTTTGGGAAAGGAGATGGTGGTAATGTCGTCGCCTCTTGATTTTTATCTCTATTTGATGTTTCTTGCTTGGCCTGATAGCGGAGTCGATCTTGAAGTTCATAAAGGTTGCATGATAAAAATTTCAATCACATTGAACACAGCTCTGCACACTCACCGCTTTCTATGAGTCTTCCACTGAGTATGTCGCGTGAAGACCAACCGCACAGAATTCACATGGAGGCGTAATGTGTCCCTACTCCATCAGAATAACAGACTTATATACTGCCCAATATCACGCGTGATAATCAGGCATTCTTCCCTGCGGTTCATTTTCGGATTTCTGGAATTAATCCAGAGTGCCTCGAGAGTTTTTCGCGCCTGTGTTCTTGATTCGCGTGCAAGGATCGTGACACGTACTTCAAAGTTCTCCTCGTTATGTCTCTGGATCCTATGCGTGCCTAGTGGGGTATTTGGTAGACCTTTGCCGGCTAGGTGTTTTTTATGAGAGATGTGCCATACATTCGACTTCATCAAGCATCATTGGAGGTGATTGAATGCAAATCTGGCTTTCACAATGACTCGCGGTGGACTACTGATGTATCGACCCAATGCTGCTATCCTCTCAGACAAGTCTGGTGCTAATTTGGCAAACCTGGAAGGATGGAGGGCTTGGTGGGCCATGGGCCCGAGGACCAATTCCACGTGTGTGGCGCAGTGGCGCCTCCAACCACAGCGCCACACGAGCCCACGTCGCAACGTTAGCCGAAATAAATATGTTTATCAATGATTATTTTACTACATAACAGTCGATTTGAAATCTGTTTTGCACGGTTAACTTTCAAAGAAACTGCAGAACTTTTCAAATCCTGTATTTTCAAATCTAGAGGTAAAGAGTACGAAGATTTGTAGCATTAGGAAGCTAATTTGACCGTCTCATGGCTGATATGGGAAATCATATACAGCTTTGACCTGCTCATCCAGTGCGTAAACTATCGGACAAAGACGGACAGTTCTTACAAAGACATTACAGAGTCCTTTACAGCTAGCTGCGAAGCCAGCGGGTGAGATGTGCTTCTTCGAAAAGTTTATGTGAAAGCAGTGCAGTAGCTTGTACAGAAATTTCATGCAAATCTGTTTAAAAGCTGATAGACAACATTCGCTATTCTGTGGAGGATGTTCTCTGCAGAAAAAGTGTTGGAGTGATATTGATTTCAAAACAGACCTGTTAGCGACCTGTTCACATACACCATTCCGATTGACAGTTGCTTAGTGAACCAAATCATCGACTTAATGAAGAACATCGATAGATCTCGAATTCATCTTGAAAATGAAAACCTCACCTTCTAGCTTAAAGTCAGTGGTTCTCTCGTTTGTCAGAACTTATCGTATTCCTAGATTGTTGATGTGGAAGTCAGTTGTACGCTTTCTTCTCCTATATGAAAGATTTCACTTATTTCAATCCATTAAAATATGAAAAAACGATGTGGAGCGAATGGAAGAATTGCTAATCCAGGGCGGTAGAAGAAAAGTATGTCTTCGTCTTCCTTGTTCACGAGTTGTATCTGCGTTGATACTCTGCGTGATTTTGCTGGCCGTCTTACTTTTGTGATAGTACAAGCGAAATTCAGAGCACCGAAGCGATGTACGTCAATGCATCCACGTCGTCTGCGTCTTCACCTGAGGAATTCAAAGTTAAAGTTAGTTTTTGATGTTAAGGTTTTCTTCCTTACTTTCTAATTTGAATTTTGAAGCAGGTTATTAACAATGCGTTAATTTATTTTGGGTAGTTTTATTGCCAATACTCCTATCCAGAATCTTAACTGAGAGCGAACCAGTGCCAGTGATCGTCACCGCTCTAAAGCAAATCTAATCGCGAAGTGAACCACCTCTTTCTGATCCACAGAGGTCACCGACCGTCTAAGATGACAAAAGGCTGGAAAAAGGCAATTCGTCAATAAGGATGTTCGAAAAAAGAAAAGCCTGTGTGACGAGCTTTCAACAGGCTAGCCTCGTACAAACAGTGAAAAACTTTATAAAAATAAGTAAATAATAGACAAATAGATAATAAGAACTATAAAATTATCCTCAAAAGCAAGGCTCATTCGGAAAAGTTTCTTGCTATAAAAGACTAGGAGAGTTTCTGAGGCATTAGCTTGTTTAGGAAATATTTCTCTTAAACCTTGCACGCCTTGTTTTTGAACCAGTTAGTGTCTATCTGTTAATATTACATGTTTCATGACTACCTACGTCTGGAATCTCTATCAATTTAAACCAGTTAGCGTCTGGAATCTGCATTATATTGTTAGCCCAATGTTCTATTTCTGATATTACTCCGTATTTCTTACGTAATCCATAGATCGTCCGTCTTCGTAAGCACTACCAGTTCTACTAGTGGCCAAAATACTTGTTATTTTCTTTCCGAATTGACATGTTCATTACTAGTTGAGATCTCGTTATAGCTGCCCTGGCATCGAGCTTTATAAGCAATCACAAGGCGTTCTGGATAGGTAGGAAGCTTGATGACGTCCAACAAAGGTTCTTTCAGAACGCTAGCTCCCGCTGCGACTTGTCGACTGACTAGTTAATGAATATGAAGCACGATTCTGTGATTCTGTATTAAATTCTAGATATTCAGCTCTAACGCAGATAAAAGATCAAGCGAATCTATAGAAATTCTACATAGCAGCCCGCTTATTCTGAATCTTCTTCACATTCGTAGTACCTCGTAGCTAATGTGCTGTGTCACATAAGAATCCACATTATTATATAATAGAAGCGAATAGGTAAATGAAAGTTCTTTTCAGGTGCCGAAATCGCGCAAAGAAAATCGACTTCTGAAGAGTGGCTTCGTTGACGACAACAACGACCACCTCTGCTACCTCGAACTTTCGATTGTGTGGCCGGCTGCAGTGTGCGCCGTGTTGTCGATGTTGCTTTTCATTGGTCGGTATTTTTTATTAAACAAAGAAAAATCCGCCTTGTATGATTAACAGGACGCTTCTGCAACACTTCCAGTAGTTCTTAAGGCCAACCTTCTATTAAATTGCTTAGAATAAAATGAACGTTTTTAACCATGTTATTTAAAATGGCACAACTTGCTTCAAACAAAATTTTATTGACCAAATAAAAACCATTTGAATCTACATATTCTTGCCAACAGAAAACAAATGTATTTATTTCCGTTGCTTAAAACTTTGGAGCTCTGAAAGAGATGGATTCCTTGAAGGGATTTTTTCCAGCATTGTGATTGGTAAAGCGTTTCTCGGGCAGGTAGTAGTCAAGATGTTTCACGAAGTGATGGTCGGTGAGCGAGAGGTCTGTTGAATATGGCGGGCGAGGCAAAGCTTCGTAACGAAACTCGTTCAACTCCTGCAGCGCTGGTTCCGCAACATGACGCCGGGCCTTGTGGCAAGGAAGGATAGGTCCTTTGCTGTTGACTAATGCCGGTCGTTGTTGTTGGAGTTTACGGTGCATTTTGTCGATTTTTGGCAATACTTCTCTGGCGCAATAGTTTCGCTTGGATTCAAAAAGCTATGATAAATCAGCCGGACTGCAGACCATCAAACATACACCATAACCTTTTTTGGTGCAATTTCGGATTTGACAATTGCTCTAGAGCCTAATTGCAACCCAACCAGCTGAACGTCGCCGGTTGTCGTACAGAATCCACTTCTCGTCGCACGTCACAATTCGATCAAGAAAAGGTTCGTTTTTGCTCCGCAGAATAAGAGCGGACGACACTTCAAAACGGCGTTTTTTGAATATCGTTTGATTCATGCGCCACCCACTTGTCGAGTTTTTCGTTCTTCCTATGCGATTTAAGTGAGTGGAAATTGTTCCTGTGCTTAGGCCAGGCTGTTTTGCAAGCTTTCCAACAGTTGTTCGCGTATTTGTTTCCACTACAGCCTTCAATTCGCCGTCGTCAAGTTCCTTGGGATGTCCGCGGCCTTCCATATCTTTGAGGTCGAAAACACCAGATCGAAATTTCCTGATCCATGCTCGCACTGTTGATTCACCAAGACTACCTTCACCCCAAATCTCACTAATCTTCCGAGTCGTCAGTCACGAAGCAAAGGCGCTCGTTCAATCCCCGTCCCAACGCTCTCCTCCTATCCGTGTGGGAACGCCTTAGTCCGGTTATCTCCAAGATTGTAAGCAGAATTGTTGACTCGATCGACATTCTACGACATTCATAAAGAAAACGAAATCTCAAGAAGAAGCTGGAACAAGATGCGAAGTGTTCGAAGACCGTAGTGCGCGTTGAATGTGCGTAAAACGAATCGAGGAAACGAATTTCAGGAAGTGCTGGAATCCACGCAGCTTATGACAGGTCATGTCAAAAGATTCATATGTATAAATTGTAGATTTCAGGCTGTAAAATAGATGTAGTATGAGAAGGTAATTTGATGAGCGTTTCGAAAGACAAATAGTACTGAGGCAAACTGATGGGTGTATTTGAACATCGAGTCGCTCTAAACAAGTATTCTGAGTAGGTGGAACCCCCAGTAAGGGCAATCGCTGGTTCGAAGCCCAGCTGAGGTTCTGTGATTTGCGAACATCTCAGGAATTGTGGCTATATTTTACATAATACCTAGCCATAAAAAAATATTAGGCAATAAATAAGAAGTTAAATATTCTTTTGAATGGTTTATCACCCTATGATATCCAGAAGCTCCCCACAAGTTTTGAATTTTAGTATTGAAATGAAGCATATCTGTTTGTATTCACGAACCACACGCACCCTTCAACAAGTCTCCCGCGGCAAGACGGTCTCGTCCGAGGGAAGGTCTTTTTTTCCAAATTATCAAGTATACAGAACAGGTTTTCACAACGGCTCTTCATGTCATACGTAGCCTTGACATGCTATTTAAATAAGACAAAAACTGCAGCAAAAAACCTTTGTAAACCACTGGATAAACGTGCATCCGTTTCAATACCCGCTAAGTGTTAAATAATTAAAATTGATAAAGTTTCGTCGAATTCAAATATTCCGCATTTGAGAGGGCGGGAAATTCAGGATAGATATGAAATTTCTATTTGGTAACTGATTATTTTCATCTATTGGATTGTTCAGCTGCGATAGCTGCATCGCTTTACAACGACTACATACCTACAGAGAAGGAGCTACTACGGACGTTTTTCGCCGCCTATGGTTCGACGTCTTTCGCTTGTAATGTAAGTATTAAGCGTCGTTATTTATTTATGACGCATCGCCTTTCGATGTGGTTGATTTTTGATACGATGCAACTATATGCAAGGCATATGTATTGATTTTGTTGTGGTTTCCAACAGTAGACAATTTTCGAAGACTGTTTTTGAACTCTATAAGAGCCTAAGTTGAATTGAAGTACACTGAATTTGCAAGCGTCTAAGGAAGCGTGTAAGCAGTTGTCACTTCGTGATATGGCACTAAATATTTTGCGAAATCTGTTGCAAATTACTACGTTACCATGTTTACGACTAAACCTAGCTATTTGAAGCCTTGGAAAGAGTAGTTGACCGAAGGCTTTCTCAAGGAGTTCTGAGATCCCATTCTTTCCTTAAACGCCAATTACCTTAAAAATTTTTTGGCTTTTGGTCGCAAGTTGTTCGAAATCATCCAGCCAATGAATTACTTCGCTATTTGATGGGTAGGAAAACCAGGCTGGATGTGAATTTATGGTTTCAGCATATATTCATAGAGTGTATGAAAAGAGGGTTTTTTTTGCCAAACATTGTTGTCCTACCGTTTCTAAAGTAGTGCTGGTGAATCCGTCGTGCCAACAGTCACTTTTTCTTCAGACAACGTTACCATTACCGGTAAATGGGATTCCTTCCGCACTGAAACTGCTCGAAATCAATGCCTCCGGCAATGTGCTGTTTCGATTATGCACCTGCATTCCGGTCGTAATCCGGCTGTTTATTTCTAATATTCAATGGTAAGTCAATTAATGACGACCTTGTGCTTGATCTTAGACGCTGTACAACATTTGCGACCGAACTATCTACCGCTTCATTATGGTTTGGTTCTCACCTACATTTGAGCTACTCACTTCGCCGGCGATGTATAGAAGGCCATACCTAACCATGTAGGCATATGGTCACGATGGAAGATCTTTCAGGGAAAACTGCGCAGAATTGAATTGCATAGAACTGCTAGAAATTCACTATTAATTCTAATCAGTTCCAATCGTCCACCTGAAAGGTAACTGGAAGTGAAAAGCAGTTCGACACTTCCACCCAAAAACCTACCGGAGACGAAAACTATGCCAAACTTTTGAGCTCACCAAGTTGACTATAACTGTTTTCTCGACAATTGCAGTAAAAAAGAGTATAAGACCAAAACTGTGTTGCTATTTATATCCTTTGACAAGTGCATGGAGTACTTCTGGTATTCGAGTGCTACGAATGAGTTGAATGATACTCGCTTTGGTTATTTTATTATTAGTGGAGTTTTACTCCTGTGTGTCTTTTACGCATATTTCTTCGAAAATCTTCTTTGATGTCCTTTATTACTTCGATGGTGATCTTACTTCTTGGATAGGCTATAATATTGGAACAGATTCGTTTAGGTGAAGTTATTGCAGTTCTGCGTGACTCAACAGAGAAGCAAGTAGTGCAAACAGTCATTGTTTATGTTCATAAGCGATCGAATAGCGCTAGACGTAACTTCATTCAAAGAGGTCACATCCAACCTTTTCTGGATTTAGTGGGCTTCTTCTTATTGCGTCTCTTTTCTGCTCCATCCAGCATGGCACTTGACATTAAGTTACTGTGTTTTTGCCAGCAACGGAGTATTCCGATGCAACTTTTGCAATCGTGGAGGGGATATAAACGAATGAATTAGAAGTTGTTATAATTCCTTTAAGCTGTAAAAACATGAAAACCACCGTAACATCAAAAAATCTCATTAGATACTGCATAATGACCTTGTGTCAGAAACTCAAGAAATCGAAGTATTTGGTTTTTTGTGTTCATGTTCCCACCGTTACTTTAACTTAATGATAACTCATGTTGTGCAGTGCTACGATGCGAGCGGAGTACGAGCTACTTCCTTTCTTCTATCGAATTTCCATCGAGGTAGTACCGCTACTGACCTTCATAGAGGTGTTCTCTTTGGCCTTATTCAGCATAATCACCTCTCACAGCGACTTTCCAGGTGAATTTTAAGGGATTTTGTTCGATTTCTTTTCTAAAAGACGATGGTAAGCATTTTTGCAGGTTTAAAAACTTTTGCCTAAAATTTAAGAAAAACCTTTAAAAGTGCGAGATTAAGATATCGTTTACTTGATGCTTAATACTTGATACTTGAACGGCCCGTCCTCACTGGTTGTGCAGGCTGAAGCGTAATCTCCATTTTTTCGGAGATTTGCTGGTTAAGCTATTGTGGGTTCCCTGGAATCCCGTGCACAGCCTGGCCAAAGTCTGCCCGAGGTCGTCACCACCCAGGCAGTCGCCGCCTTTGTGGATCAGATGGAGATGTGCTATCATACGACTAGTTTGATACTAGAACGGTGGTGGATCCTGGTATTGGTTTACACTTAGGCTTCCTGATAGAAACGCCGTACTCTTTCTCAGGCTGAGAGACCCTTCCATGGTATGAATCTTCCCCCGCTGTACATCGTTGCCCGACAACCAGTAACACCTCCCATCCGCGATGAGGTAGTAGACCGTTGGAAGGAAGATTTCCTTTAGTGTAAATAATTCAGCGATCTATTGGTTTTCAACCAATAAGAATCATCTTTTCTTCCACATTTTTTTGATTTTCTGTAGAATTCACTAACGTTTAAGTATACTTCAGTGTATTTCGCAGCAGTAGAGATGCTGCTCTTTTTATGATTTTTTCTATATCTCCATTCTTTGCTTTTCATTTATACTAAAAGGTAGAAATTGTTGAGCCCATTCTGCCGCACTAAAGTGTCCATAGCTATTTGGACCAGACGACCATATAGGCAAATGGATACTATAGCATCCATGTAGAGTTCAGTGGTTTCCAGAGCCTTTTCGTTTTTACAGCATTACGTATATTCGATAACTAATGGAAAGCAGAACACAGTGGAAAGGGTGGGACTAGAAAAATCATTGTCTACATTTGATGATTTACAGATAATCCTTTTCTCGAAATTCTACATCGATCGGAAATATGACTAATAACTTCCTGTTACAATCTTGTCACTCTTCTGTTTACTGCCTACTCTTTTTAATGGCAGGGTGATTAAAAAAATAAAGTTGTCGACGTTAATCAATCTCTGAGGGATACACTGTGCACTCGACTTCATTAAGCATTATTTGGAGGTGATTGAATGCATATCTGGTCTTTACAATGACTTGCAGTGGCCTACCGATGCATCGAAGCAGTGCTGATACCCTCTCAATCGAGCCACTGGCATCAATTTTCTGTCGCCGGAGGGAAGGCTTGGTGAGCCATGGGCCCAGAGAACGATCTCATGTGAGTGTTGCAGGGCACCTTCGAGCACTGCGCCACACGCGTTGCTTTTATGATAGGGTATCACATGAAATATAACCCTAATGGTGCTGAGATATTTGCAAAACTCCGGACCGCAGGTGTCTGCGGTGGGGAACGAACGAGTTATTACCCTTTCCCGGGCTAATGCGTTCACCACCACACCATGCGAGTTCTTTGTTTCACCTTTCTCTAAGCCCTGTTATCGACCTATGTGCTATCTGCAATCACCCGTCGGTGGGAATGAACTGATGAGCCCAAGTGGGCATTGAACTCAGTTAAGCTGAAGCTTTGGTGTAAATCACAATCAATCGCTAGCAGCGGTCACTGGTCAAACTTGCTATTATTTCATTTTATTCACAATGGCTATGTATAAAATATTTGTATATAAAAAAACACTTAAGCAGACTTGACATAAACTGCAAATTGCTTCCAAGTGCCGACCACAGCCTATTTACAACATGACCGTAGCAATTTACGGTAAAAAGTAGAATAAATTGTAGCAGTTGCTAGTGGAAATTAGGCGTTCGAGTCAGTTCTCGGTACCTTATGAACACTAGCTTTGAGTAGGATGCTCGACTTGGTAGAAGTTGCCACGCGAGACTTTTTCGTACTTGTCGCAGAGCAATAACTCAAACTTGGGTAATTAAACCGTTTATAACAATAATAATTTAAAAATAACGAAATATAAACATTGGTACAATACAGACTGCAATATTGTATCATGATCAATAAATGAGGGTAATGCGGGTTAGTATCTTTGCTATAGGTACAGAGCTATATGACAGCAATGTTAGTATACAACAGTTACCACATACAACAAGAGAGAACACCTTGGATTGACTACAAGGCGCATTACACATGATGAACAGAGTAGCGAACCCGGTATTGACGCACAGGGCTCTTTAAATATCTTCTGGAGGAGGCGGTGTTTTGGCACAGGTCCAGAACCTTTACCAAAAACACCTATCAGCTTGCGTCTCCAACTCCCCTGTGGTCAGATGACTAAGGACGGTTTGCCGGACAGCTTCAAGCCCCTTTGTGTTACTGTACCCGTGATGGTTTGGAACAGATGCAACACACAAAGGGTTCCGATTGTATGGAAAGAGTGTGTTTCACAAAGGATGTTTACGACAACCAAAGTTTCTCACAACGATGTGGAAACGTTTACATGCTGCAATATCGCCAAGAATGCTATAGGCCACGAATATGGTTGCCACAGATCTACGATATGATGAATGAATAGTAACTATTATGGCAATAGTTGCTATATAAATATCGTTTGTACTGGTAGAACCATAAAGCAAAGTCTCCTCTACAATTTTATTATGTTAAAACTGCTTAAATCTCCTAATTGTCGAAATAACAAGGAATTCCATAGCCGATGAAAAGTTGCTTGAATTCGATTCGATTGGTCCAACCATGTCACGGTTGTGGAGCGGAATGAGCTAATCAAGCTCTTACGATGAATTTGCTCACAATGGTTGGGCTGTTGTTGTTCACCGTTAGCTAACATAACACGCGAGTATCGAAAAATACTACTTGCTTGAAGTTTTGGCTTCCATTTTCTACCTGTTCTTTTTTCATAACAGAGAACAATGTGAAATACAGCCATAAGGACACTGAGATGTGAGCAAAACTCGAAACCCCATTTGGACTTCGAATACGCGATTACCCTTTCCGCAAACTCACGTGCTGTTTACCACACAAACCGAGACTCTCGATTTGCTTTTCTCTTACTCATGTACTTGTTCCACTGGTTCTATCATCAGTCACTTGTAAATGAGAACTATGTGTCTAGCTTGATAACCAAGTGTTATGTCATTAAATATTGTACGCACTACTTCCACTGGTTAGTCGCATTACAGTGTCTTTCCATAAAGATGATCTGTTAGTGCATAATATCGCTTACGACTTGCGCATCTGTTGATTTTCTTTCTCATTAACGTTAAATGCCTTGTCAAATATGGTTTTCGCCACAATCATGAGATGCAATAAACTGTTCTGACTCAACACGAGCATTGTAGTGAGCCACTCAACTTCTGATGATACTCGGAAAAAACGGCGAATAACTTTTATTTAGCACCTGTTATTTTTTCACGGTAGGGTATCATGTGAAGTACAACTACAAAGATGCTGTGGGAGAACCAAAACTCGGAACCCTTGGTGAGCTTCGAATTCGCGATTGCCCTTCCCGCAGGTTCGTTTTCAGGCTTCAGTTTAACGGGGTTGAATGCCCTGATTTGTCCTCTCTAGACAATTCCCGTTGAATGGGAATTGCTGACAATACCGCTGAGGTAAAACTGTCTGAGAGAAAGGCAAAGCAGGAGTTTTGACGGTCTACTGGATAACACGTGAACCCCTCCTCACACGTCCCTTCCAGAAAAATACGTAGTCGTAGGTTCGAACACTAATGATTCCGAGTATTACTCGAATAACACTTTGTGCTGGCTATAGAATGTAACCGATGTCACACATTTACCACCACATCATCTTTGACAATAAAATAAAACGTCTCTAAGAAAGCAAGGTGAGGTGTAGAGCAGTGGTTAGAGGTACCCTGCAATATGGATAGGTCGACTGTTCGATTCAATGCATTGGGTTCACCGCCAACAAACTTTTCCTCAGCCTCTTTCTTCTTTCCCGTGTATCGGCAAGTCGGTTTCAAAACCCTTAATAATTTTTGTCGATATATGCATTTAATCACCTCGCCTCTGCTGTGCAACGAATGGAGTCAAATATGCAGCACATCCCTACCAGATTGGTTGGCGTGAAGCTCCTTATTCTCTTTCACTTTTAAATTAAGGGTGGTCATAATTAGTTATCTCTCCTTACTTTGCAGATGTAAACAGATTCTGCAAAATCCTATTCGTGATGGCGGCAAATGTCAATATGGTGCTTGCGACAGCAATACAGTACGCCTACAGTAAGAGCTCCAAAGTGGTGAGTAGTAGCCAACTCTTTGGTTTCGTTGTGAAACCGAGCATTGAATTATAAGAAATATTTAAAAAAGTACACAGAGCAGAAATAATTTTTTCTGTAGGGAAATACGCTGTAAATATGTTGTCATAACGCTAACTTTTTAATGATGCTGAGATATTTGCAAAACTCCGGACCGCAGGTGTTTGCGGTGCGGAACGAACGCGCTATTGTCCTTTCCGGGGAGCAACGCGTTCACCACCACACCATGCGGGTCCTTCGTTTCAGCTGTCTCTAGTTCTATCGGTCTTTGAAGATTCGACTCGATGCCATTACGATGACCAATATCTCGAAGATTGCGGACCAAGACTCGAATCACTCCGTTTTCACGAAGGCGAAAGCATCGAATCGTTAGCCAAACAAAGGTTTTGTAGCAACCTGGTGTCAGCTTATCAATGAAAGAAAGTATACCTTCGTATTTTGTCATGTCTAATCGTAATTGATCACAAGAGTAATCAGAGTTGTGAATTCCAAAAATATTAAGCAATTTTAAAAAATATATGGTAACGAATAGCGTTTGCTTGAAAGTTTGCTTTAATTATAACAAATTCATCGGTGAAGAGCCGAACAGCACCATGGCCGGGCAGAAAGAGATTTGAACACCTGAGGAAACTTTTGCCAGTCCTCATAAACACACCGGCTCGGCTTTTCACGCTACTCGTTCGAACGCTAGGTCTCTACTCAATGGAAGACCAGCAGGACCGTGCTATGGTTCAAGAAAGGTGACCTTCACGATATCGGCAACCATCGCTCAATCTGCTTGCAGTTGGTCGTCTACAAACTTTATATTCCGTTATCCTAAACATTATTGACAGAACACTAAACGAAGAGTAGCCATGCGAGTAAGCAGGGTTTCGAAAAATATTCCAACAGGATGGACCATTTCCACAGAACAACAAGACTCGGTGAAGTGTCGTGAGGGTACAAAAGACCGCTTTGTCTCAACTTCATCGATTTAAAAAAGGCTGTTGACTCGGCTGAGATAGAAGCAATAATGGAAGCTGTGGAGAATAACCTTGAACAATAAGAGAGTCCCTGCTCAGTATATGAAGATTCTTGGTGAACTGTATAAAAATTTCACAACCAAGATATCAGCATTTTACAACGATTTTAACATCGATATCAAAAGAGAGGTTAGGCGAGGCGATATCATCTCGCCAAAATTATTTACCGCCACCTTCGAGAACGTCGTGCTAACACTGGAATGGGACAACATGAGAGTGAAAATCGATGGACGGCAATTACACCATCTTCGGTTTGCTGATGGCATCGTCTTCATAACACCAAACATTAGCCAAGCGGAACGTATGCTTGACGACTTTAATAAAGCCTGTGGACAGATTGGTCTTCGACTAAATCTCACAAAAACGATGTTCACTAAGAACGGATTGGTTACGTATGTCCTATTCACGCTCAACGGAGCGAATATCTCCGAATGTTCCAGTTACTTCTATCTGGATCGGGAAATCAACATGATGAACGACTTAGCTCCAGAGTTGAGCAGAAGGAGACAAGCGGCTTAGCGGGGTTTCAAGAGCATGGAGAACGTAGTGAAGAGAACAAAGAACATCCCATTCCATGTCCACCCTTTCGACTCCGCGATACTTCCGGCCCTAACGTATGCGTCAGAAACCTGGTCGCCGCGTAAGCAGGATGAAAGATCACCCAGCGTTGTTGAGCGCTCACTCGAAAACGCGAAGCACACCCTGGGTTTCAAGTTTTGTTCATAGCTCAATATCTTTGTGTTCGCAGTTCACGTAGTGCCCTGCCTGGGAAAATGAAAAGGCAGCAAATAAAAGTTAAGAGACGTAATAGTGACATCTCTAGAGAAAAATAAGGACTTAAGGTAATAACTAGAATTTGTGGTTATCTCAGGTACACTGAAGGATGCTCACAACATGTTCTATGAATCGATAGCCAACCATCAACGGTTCGAGCCACGACCTTGCATTGAGTAGTTTTATTCGATGATCTTGCAAACATATGTATTCTTTCTTGATAAGCTTACACGAGGTTGATAAATATATTTATTTTCGGCTAACGTTTCGACGTCTCCGTCTTCCTCAGAGCCGGTGATCCGAGTCGATGGTCCATGCTTGTTGTTCGCCTCGACGTTGCGTCTTCGCCTTCGTGTCGAGCCAGATCTTCCTCAGTGAGCCATCTTCTCGAATGAGGCATCCTCACTCAGTGATGCCCTTTTATACACGATGCTGATGGTGGATATATAATGACAATGTCCGGTGGTAACAACTTGTATTTCTTCCGGACATACATCACTGCGCACATCGTGCAGAGGTCGGTGTATTATCAGCTAGCACAAAGCGTAGTAATATTTCGAAACCGACCTTCCCTAAACCTCGGTGTGATTAATCAATATGTATTCTTTCTTGATAAGCTTACACGAGGTTGATAAATATATTTATTTTCGGCTAACGTTTCGACGTCTTCGTCTTCCTCAGAGCCGGTGATCCGAGTCGATGGTCCATGCTTGTCGTTCGCCTCGATGTTGCGTCTTCGCCTATAACAAAAAGATCTTGCAAACACTTATGAGTAGTCGAGTTATCTATTCCGCAATCTTTAGAAAATTTTTCAATATGTTATAAAGCAGCTAAGGTCTATCAAACCCCCAACGAGTGATATGAAAAGTTGTTTTTCACCTCACTAGCTTCTTGGAGCGTTTTGGTGCAGATAAGCAAAATAAGGAGTACTGTCCTAGCATGTTTTGTCGTTCTTGCAAGGCTTAAAGTACTTGAAGTACCTGAAAAGTACTTAAAAAGTTCATCAACTGCAGAGAATCGACCAACTATCGGCTGGGATCAAAACAATAACGGTTTGCGTTTTCTGCTATTTGGCACCGCAGTATTTCGCACATCATTATTCTCCCATCTCCTTTCCAATATGTTATTCTTACAGTAAGTTTCTTTCACTTTTTAAAACTGCTGGCCGAATTTTGTGCTTTAGCATTGTATCCGTGTGGCGCAGTGGTCGAAGGTCCCCTGCGACACACGTGAAATCGATTCCGGCCCTCATGGCCTAACAACCCTTCCATCTCTCCGTGGACGGCAAATTGATACCAGACTTGTCTGGGAGGATAGCAGCTTTAGCTCGATAGATCGGTAGTCCACCGCCAAACATTGTAAAGGTCAGATATGCATTCAATCACCTCCAAACGATGGTTAATGAAGTCGAATGCATGGCGCATCCCTTTGGGATTGATCAACGCCGATAGCTTCATCCTTTTCATCCTTTTATGGTACTTTTCATCGAAAACCTAAAACAGTAAAGAGGAAAAGCAGTGTTTTCTAAATAGATGCATTAGCTCATTTCACTAGAGTCTACTAGTTTAGAGATTCCCAAGACCGACTTTCTGTTAACCTCGGCATTGATTGGTAATTCGATGTTTCTCTTCAATAAGCAGACACGAGGTTGTTATAGAATTTATTAGGATACAATAGCTGTTTCGGCGGTTTCGCCTTCTTCAGAGCCTGAAAAGGTCGAATTGAGATGCGATCTACTCAGCCAAACACCTTCATAACCTTAGCAGATAAAACCTAACAAATAAATTTGCATTCGCATAAGAAACAGCTTCATTTAAACACTTACCGTTTATTTGTTGTAAGCATTTAAGTTCGTTGGAGGATAGCAACCAGCCCTAGTAATACATGGGCGAGGACTGCACCTGTGTCAGGTCATTGGATCAGCGTGTGGTATGGCGTCTGGTCACGCGTGATGACAAGACACTCCTCCTTGCGGTTCGCGTAAAACTGTGTAGACGGGCCTACGAATAGAATTGCTTGGTTTATAAATCTAACCCTCAACCAGTTGCTTAAGCACATGCCAGCCCATCTCACGAACAGTCAAACATTCCTAGGCCGTCTGCGCAACGCACGTCCCAAAAGCGCGTACGTTATGGAGTTGTTCGACACTACCGCCCTTAACACTGATATGCCGACTGACTCCACAATGCAAGCGATCCGCGAGCTTCTTGAGAAACACGAAGGAGCAATTAATATGTATGGCTTTTCGATCCAGCAGCTTATGGTCCTTCTAAAGATCTGTTTAAACTGCTCTATCTTCAGATGGCCTGGGAAATATTACGCTCAAATTAGAGCGTTGGCAATGGGACAGCGACTGGCACCAACCCTTGCCGTTGCCTTTATGTCTAAAGTGGAAGCACCAGTAATCGATCTCAGGTCATTACTTTACTGTAGGTATATAGATGATTGTTTTGTCATCTGCTCCACACAAGAGGAGATGGACAAATGCTTTGAGTTATTGAACGAACAGTCAGAGTACATAAAATTCACTCGTGAGAAACCGGAAGAAAACAGGCTTCCATTTCTAAACGTTCAAATCAACCTATCCGAAAACGGCTACAACACAAAATGGTATCGAAAGCTAAGCAGTAAGAATATAGTGGTTCATTACCTCTCATCCCTCACAAACTAAAACGGCGCTTGTAAGAAATGTGTTTCGAACCGCTGCCAGCGTGTGCACAGGTAGAGATCAGAGGGAAGAATCCTCGAAACTAGCGCACCAAATAGTCATTTCAAATGGTTACGAAACTGTAGCTTCTCGGCATAGGCATAGAGGAAAAACCACGCCCCATTCTAGCGAAAACGGCTCCATTTCTCTTGCCCTTTATTTCAAACGAAATAAGTGCGGCTATAAAACGTTGCTTAATAGGAGAACTTCAGCATCAATAAACAAGTTATTTCGTTTTTACAAACCCTGTTTTTGAGGTGACTTGAGGTTCGGTCGTCATCTTCTTCAGAGTCATTCGTGTTGTCTAAAAAATGAGACCACCAATTCACATGGAAAAGTGAAAACTGTCATAATGTCATCAAAATTATAGTTTATCACTGAACTCACCGTCTTATGTGAACAGAATGCAGTTAATCTTTAAGTCTCACTCCTTAGAAAAAAACATTAATGAAGAAGTTACGAAGCCACCGAAAGCTTAGACACTGGGAATGGAAGTACTATTGACGGTATCGTGTCAGCTCGCTAACGGCTGTATGTAGGAATATAATAAGTTGAGAATAAGGCATAAAAGGTTTGGCGTTGATCAATCTCTGAGAGACGCGGCATGCGTTCAACTTCATCAAACCTCGTAAGAGTAATAGAATGCATATTTGGCCTATACAATGACTTACGTTGGCCAACCGATGCATCAATCCAAAGTTATCTTACCACGCAAGTCTACCATCCATTTTCGACCACCAAAGAGATGGAGGGTCTAGTGATTCCAGGGCGCGGGATCAAACCAACGACCGGTGTGTCTTGTCGATAACATCTAACCAGCATGCTACACAAAGTCCAAAATAATTTGCTAGGTGTTGATTGTGAGCGTGTCTCTTTCAGTGCCACGTACGTACGCCTACATGGAATACGTGATGATCGTCGCCTACTTCGTGTTTCATCTCACATCGCTAATTGACATCCGTCATATCTCATTCATTTGCTATCCACGCACATGCAGCGGTGAATGTGAACCGCTAGATCCGAAGAATTTTGTGAAACAAGCGAAATACGAACATTGTCGAGCCTACGAGTATCAACAACGCCGTGCACGTCATTTATAAAGTGCTATATTATCTACTTTTTCTTCCAGAACATATCCCTATATACATTACGGTAAACAGACGTGTCGATTGCAACATACAGTGCAACCATATGTATTGGTCGGATTTCGATCGATAATGGTCTAGTTGAACATGCCTCAGTCTCTTGAATTTGTGAATGTGGTAATGCTTCTTCCTAGTTTCTTCAAATTCCATAAATATCATATTGTTGAAGTTGTTGGTTTATGCTGATGTGTTTGGAACAAATTAATAATGATTCTCAAATCATTGTCTTATGATTGGCTATGCAACGATTGATTAGACTTATAAATTTTCCAACGATTCCATTAAACATTGAGTTTTGACTAGAACCCTTGTGGCGAAACTTCCAGTGATTTCAGTTTCTATCCTTGGTATACTCCCGTCATGTTTAAATGTAAGGGCAGGTAGACCTGCATCTCCATAGTTGTTTTTTCATTTCAGGCCAGGATGTTCGAGAAGATGTTGGTTATTTTAGCTGTTAATAAAGAATTGTACCAGTTATTTCAATCACTGTGCAAAAATAGTGATTTCAGAAATGCTAAGACTGTGTTTAATCTGTTTTCATTTAAAGAAACTCTTGTCACTTGAACGATTTTGTTTCTGCAAGAAATTTGTTACGGTAGGATAAAAGAACAGTGGATAAACAGTAATAAGCGTTGGGCAGAGTTTAGGATATCGTAGAGCTAACTGAGAGCATACTTGACCTACAAAATTACTTGGAGGAACCCACCTTAAATCAAAATAGTGTTTTGCTTCTCTCAGATAAGTATGGTAACATACTAGTTCATTACCTCATCTCTTATCCATCACACACAAAAAGGATTACCGTCAAATATGTAAAGTCAGTAGACCAACATGCCCTGTCTTATACCTACTTGTTCAAACACATAAGTTGGTATCACCAGTTGATCTTGCGTCAAGTAATCCGTTATCATTTGAGGTTAGACCAACCATCAGCTGTGTAAACGGGCCAACGGATAGAATAACCTGGTTTTTAAGCCTGATACTTACCCAGTTGCTTAACCACATTCCAGCTCACCTTACAAACACCCAAATGTTCTACGTCTACGTAACGCGTCTCCTAATAACGCGTACGTGATGGAGTCTTTCGACGTTACCGCGTTGTACACCAACGTATCGAATGACTCCGCAATGCAAACCATCTTCGAACTTCTTGTTGAACATGACGGAAGAATAAATATGCATGGCTTGACCATCCAGTAGCTAATGGCTCTCTTAAAGGAGTGCCTAAACTGCTCGATTTTCAGATGGTCTGGGAAATATTTCGCACAAATAAGGAGGCTGGCAATGGGACAGCGATTGGCGCCAAGCCTTGGCATCGCGTTAATCTCCAGAATAGAAGCCCCCGTTATCGATCTCTGGCCGCTACTCTACTGCAGATACATAGATGACTGTTTTGTCATTTTCCGTACTCAGGTAGAGATGGACAAAAGCTTCGAATTACTGAACGAGCAATCTGAGTATATAAAGTTCACCGGGAAAAACTGAGAAAAGTTGGCCTCCGTTTTTAAACGTTCAAATAAACCTATCAAGTAGCGGTTACATGACAAAGTGATACCGAAAGCCAAGTAACAAGAACATCCTTGTTCATTTCCTTTATTCCCACCCTTCACACACAAAGAGGGCTATTGTGAGAAGCATGTTTCGAACAGCAACCTTTGTGTGCACTACCAGGGAACTAAAGGAAGAATCGCGCAACTTGGCTCAGCAAATAGCCATCTCCAATGGCTACGAAAAAGTAACCCCACAAGATAAGTTTGGAAGGAGAGCGATGCCCCAAAACGAAGGGTTTGGTCGAAACAAAATCTCGTTTATCTTGCACTTCATCAGCGATGAAATAAGTGTAGCGACAAAGCGATGTTTGAGAAGGGCAGATCTAGAGGAATCGGTAGAGATAGTTGAAATATCACCGGATACTCTACGTCGTCAGTTAGTTCGTAACCGCTTGTATGACCGTCTATGTGAAACACCAAATTGCGTAATTCGTCCTTACGGCAGAAACAGTGACTGCATGAGTTCAGATACGATACACCTGATCTCTTGTAGCACTTGCGGAGACGAATATATCGGCGAAACGGGCAGACCTTTGTGTACCCGCATAAAAAACACCTGGATGCCAGACGAAAATCAAAACAAGGAACGCCACTAGGCACGCATAGGATTCAAAAACATGGAGAAGATTTCGATATAAAAGTCGCTATCATCGCACGGGAGACTAAAACACCAACGTGCAAATTTCTCGAGGCTTTTTGGATAAATTCCAAAAATCCAAGAATGAATAACAAGGAAGAATGTCCTGAGATAACGCGTGATCTTGCCTCGTATCTCAGAACTGATTTTTGATGTGGGGTGGTGCAGTAATCAACCATATGCAACTCTAGGCGGCTGTTCTCCCTTGGTGGAAAACAGATAAAAACGGTGGGTTTTCGAGGAGCCGGTGATCGTGTAATTATTGTTCAAATTTTCATCTTTCTGTTTACGTTGTTGAAGCGTTTAACCTAGTAAATTACAGATTAGTGCACCTTTCCAGGCTCTGAAGAAGGCGATACTGCCGAAACGTCAGCTACCGTTGGTTGCATGTGTTATATTTGTAAGGAAGTAAAGGTGTGCTGAATAAAAACCTCGCGATTACTGTAAAAACGAGAAAGACAGGTTTATAATCCAATACCGAGGTTAATAGAAAGTCGATTTTGGGAACTGCTACAAAAAGGACGCTTGTAAAAGACATATTTCCAACATCCACCAGTGCTTGACAGAGGAAGGAAGCATCTTTGAAATCGGGCCGGTCATTAACCATTTCTAATGCCTACGAAACAGTAGCTTCTCGGGAAGGTGCAGAGGAAATCCCTGAACGCCAAAAGATAATTCTAAGGATAATGACGTACCGTTTACCCTGTCATTAATCTCACACGAAAAGTGCAGCTATAAAACGCTGCTTAAGAAAGGATGGTCTGTAGAATTCTGTAAAAATAACTTAAGTACAATCGGACACTAAGAAACGGGCCAGTTCGTGACGCGCTGTATGAGTATCTATGTACAACGCAGAATTGCATAATATGCTCCAACGGTAGAGACGGCGATTGCCCGCGGTCGGGAATAGTGCACCCAACCTTTTGCAAAGCGTTTGCATATGAATACGTTATACAGATGGTGAAACGCGTAGGCTACTCTGCGTCCGTAAAAGATAAAGTATGAAGCTCTCGGCGTTGATCAATTCCTCAGGGATGCGCCATGCATTCGACTTCATTAAGTATCGCTGGAGATGATTCAATGCATATCTGGCCTTTACGATGACTAGCGGTGGCCTACCGATGTATCGAGCCAATGCTGATATCCTCGCAGTTAAGCTTGGCACCAATTTGTCGACACCGGAGGGATGGAAGGCTTGATGGGCCATGGGTGTGCTGATCGATTCCACGTGCGTGTTGCAGGGCGCCTCCTAGCATTGCTCCACAGGCGTCCGTTTAGTATTTGCACCCGTATAAAAGTAAATAGTCGGTTAGTAAACTAGTTGGTAGACTTAAAGTTAAACTAAATATTCCACTAGGTGCTCATAAGAAAGAAAACATAATGGGGAAGATTTTAAAGCAATAGTTACCATTCTCGCAGGGAAATCTAAAACTTCGGCGTGAAAACGTCTCAAAGCACTTCGGATAAATTCCAAGGAACCGAAAATGAACCACAGAGAGGAATAATTCGTTTTCAAGAGTGATTTCACACACTGTTCGAAATTGATATTTCAATGTGAGTGAGGAACGTTACTGTTCCATGTGAACTCTATGAGGTTGTTCTCACGTGAAATACTCAATGACTCATAAGAAACGGTGAACGTGTGCAGAAGCTAGTTTGCTTTCAATGCCATTAAGAACTTGGTATTTTCTCTATTTCGTTACAAATATGTTCGTAATAAGTAATGAAGTTGAAAGGAGTTCATAAAGGAGGCTACATGATGAGAAGTAATTTAGTGCATAAAACCACAATAAAGATGCAAATCTACTGCGAACTTTTCACCGCTTACATTTCTTCCTTCCCCATTGTTTTGGAGGACACAAACAGGAATCTTAGGTTCGATGAAAATTTTCGTGGATAGTTTTCAACCCTGGATATTTTACATCAGTCGAAATTAGTTAGCAGAATCAAAGAGCATGTGCCTAGCGCCAAAATAGGAAATTTCATGAACTTTTCCTCTTGGATTATGAGATATCGTGTTGATCACCAGAACTAAATCACTTCTAGTAGTTGTATAGAGTACACCACCCCAACAGTTGATGCTTTTAAGATATAATAGACAAAACAGTAAGGTAATGACGTCATAAAGTCGATTTCATGGATGAGAACGCTGCTCTGCTTGTTCTGCTGCTCTTCAGCTCATTAAGTTTTGTGCACGTTTATTGGATGAGGAGCGTTCGTTCTCTCATTGCTTATGCCTATCAATACCGTTACTCCTCCGGAATGGAATGAAATCTCTATTCCATCACGTATACCAGTGGTATTGTGAAGTATGGCATTGGCGGATCCTTGATCCAAAATGCAGATAATGGACCTGAAGCAAGAGTGCTGAAAAGGAACTGCTTAACTTAAGAGTGCTTTAAAGCACGGGTACTGAAGTTGTAGGTATAAAAAGACGAGAAATGGAGTTGTACCTTTCATACACTACTGTCGTTCACATTAGCTGTACGGATCCCAGCACTTCACCCACTGAAGTCGTTTCCTGGCGTCCGTCGTCCACAAAAGTCTTCCAACTTCCTACTCTACTCATTCGTGGTGTTCTAACGGTGATTTTATTCCGCCGTGATTTACTTTCGTTTGCGCAACAATTACCCATTGCTTTCCTTTAATTGTTTAAATGACTTTCGTCTATTCTCTTTTACCGATTTCCATTAATAACTTGTCGCTCAATGTCTTTCATATGTTGTTGCTGCTCATGACATTTTTTATGTCATACGGCTTGAAAACTAGTGGAAACATTGATATTCAATGCTAAATATCAACTCCGTTGTGATTTTATCTTCTTTCTAAACATACCAAGCCGAACTAGATTATTTAGTTATTTTTCCTAGCACGGAACTGTTTAACTCATCCATTCTCAAGAATCCGATGAGCTCAGTAATTCTGGCCCAACTTGAGCACTAACTGTCCAAAAATGGACATCTGTCGCTCTAACTTCTACGGTTACTGTGTAAAATATCACTGTGCAACTGTTTCAACGTCATTGTATGCATTTTATCAACGATAACGCATTGGCAACAAGCTTTCATAACGACCACAATTTGATATCTCTAACCCCCTATGGGC